TTTGCAACCGAAACGATCATAAATGTTTTTGTTCTGGATGCAAAAAACGAAGCAAAATCTACCCATTACGACACATTAGTAAACTTTCTATGCCGAAATGATCTACTATGGTCATTTTTGTGGGTATTAATTAAGCAGTAGAGGTCTACGTATCGTACAACATGGTACATATCTCCAAAGTGCGAGACAACACAGCAGGATGCAGTTTCTACGCCACCAGATTTTGCCTTCCTAAATAACTCCCTTGCATTGGCTTTTTAGTCTCATAAGTTGAGCAGTGTGGTACCTCTGGTAGTTTAGTCAGAAGAAAGGCCAATATGTCCATTGGTAATGTGGGGGTTGCTGTTCAAAATCCCTGCCTAGGTTGAAGTCTGAAGCACACCGCCCAGTCATGTGTTGCACATGCTTAAACTTAGAAGGGCGGCAAGAATACCTCCATGGGTTAGATCCATGTACAATACACGTTGAACGTAGTAGATTAGTTACGCTACGGATCAGCGATGCCAGTCTTTCAATGCAGATTGCTTGAGGACGCACCGAGTATTTCGTATCTTTGTCAACCGCTGATTATTAAATGAACAGTTGATATAACATGGGCAATGTTTTGACCTGCGTCAAATGCACTGCATCGAAGCCGTTCATTGTTTATCAGCAGGTCACCTAATTCTATAACATTTATAGCATTATCTTCTTCGAAAGTGCGAAAGGTAATGCCCACAAGAAACCGATCAGGCTCCACGAAATTCTACAAGTTGATATCGGTAAATTGCAAGCAGCTTCTTGTACACTGCATAATAAGAGCAAGATCTTGCCAATAACTTGGTGAACGGTAATCTATCTTTAATGTGCTCCAAACTTCTAACCAGAATGGTAGATGTCTACTGTTCAAAACGCACTCTGTTGTAATGATGTCATACGGATAGAGAGAGAAATGAGCAAAAGAATACGTCTATTATGTAGTGAAATAACACCAAAAATTACATTGCACGATAAAACATGAATTGATTACTAACAAGAGTAAAATCACGGCGTAAAACATGCGCTGTACAACACAGTATAGATACTCGAGCACGGTTTTATGAAATGACGGTAGCATGGAGAAGCACCGCATCATCAGAGAAAGCGGTCAAATGCAGCATGGTTTGGACGCGATTTGAACCCATCGGATATGCAGCTTAGCTAATGACATTCAACATCCTTGGTGCGCGTATACGTCAACTATACGTTAGGTACGGTGAACCTTGTGTTCAAGGGAAAATAAGAGAACAGAAAACCCGAATCGGATAAAATTCGAAACGGAGAAGTATAAAGTAGGTGGAATAGAGAAGGTAATAACAAGTGTCTGTTTAATTTGCCGAAGCACCCATATCGTGCATAAGTCCACGGTTAGTAATCAATTTCAGTGACATAAAGAAGTATCAGAAACACAAGCTTTGACACTGCCGTCGTTAGCGCGTGCCCACGGCAATAAAGATATCAGCATTACGCCGGTGCACACTACCGATGGTTTGCTGCCGCATAATCCCCACCAATTGCACGTAGGCTAAGAATATTTCCAGGGTCGCCCGGTTCCTATGCAGACTCTAACCCGCGGGCCTGTGATCCTTAAGGTGGGCTACGGGGTTTCGATCTTTCAAAACAGAGAGGACGTCCGATGCAGTTACTTTGAATTTCCCCATTTGCTTCTCACCTACGCAATGGGAACGCGAATCGATTGCATACCCGTTGTCCGCGTTATGAACTTTGTGAAATACAGGCAGCAACTCCTGTGCCTTATCTAGGTCTTCTGTAACACGAAGAAAATCTGTGATTAATTTCCCAACAAGTTCCCTTAAAAGAGACTACGTATGCACGCAGTTGTAGTAGCGTTTCGGATTCGTCTTTACACTGCGCGCCAGCCTAAGCGCTTACGAATATTTTGCCTGTCTCTTCAATTTGAAAACAAATGACGACTAAGTGAACCTTTTCCATAGAGCATTACGTCGTTTCAATATGGTAATTATATCAGTTCGAGTGGGAGTATATTGTGGACTGAGTACGGTCTTGCCGTTCGAGACAAGCCTATCGCTCTCAGATTTTCGGAAGTCATTACAGAGAAAAGTGTGAACCGCTGCGATGGAAAACCGCAGATATTCATAAAGATTTCAGATACTGTCGCGGCAAACAATATGGAATCACGCTACACAGAACATGCAATGCACAGGCTTTGAGCTGGTGACAACTCCCTTTTCGCAAACTAAACACGGATACCATGGCCAGGAATTACACGATATCTTGGATAAAGAACAATTTTGACAACAGTGGAAATTCTGCAACGGATGTTTATTTAAACACTGTTCTCCACGATAATTCAGCTAAGAGGCTAGAAAGTATACCACGCCAGAAAGATGTTACTGTGTTCAGCCATCCAGGGATGTAAAAGTATCAGAATGCAATCTGGGACCTATGCACGAAGTAGACATTTTAGAAGAAAAAGACAAACTAGACAAGGATGGATAGCTACCAATGGTTGTCCACACCACGTTTCACAGAATCTCAAGACTTTTTCATTTGTACTATGTTGGGTCACAGTGAAGCCAATCAGCAAACAGATGATAGCAACATCCAGGTGTCTGATGATCAATATTTTGATGAAATCACTTTGTTGGATTCCTGCAAATGACCTATTCTAGACTAGTTCGTACCTATTGGTATGAAGGTTTGAGTGCAGTTTGTACTGGGTCTTTGAGACGCAAAATAAACATTTACTGTTACTTATCGTACAGGCGGAGACTGGAACACGAGCTGAGCAGAGAATTCGGAGACAGAGTAAAATCCGACTGAATTTTATTCTAAGAGACAATGGTTCCGATTAGAATCAGTGCAGCATAGTTATTTATACGTGCGTACAGGAGCTATTGCTGATGGCTTTCTGTATTGATCTCTCTGGGTGGTCTGCAATCGATGCAGAATGCATTATGGCTGATAGAAAAGCACAGTCTGATCATTGTACACCGTAAAACGCATCAGCAGTGCGCCAACACGCGGCACCTAAGCTTCACTGCCACACGACCACCAAATTTAGTCGAAACTGCGTTTATTGGGCATGAACTACAAGGTGAAGACTTGCTCCCAGGTGACAGAGGTCTTGGCGACACTGTCTTCATTTCTGACAGCTCCCTAGACAATTTGGCACCCGGCTGTCACTCGTTTCGGGCTTTGCTTCGCACTCTGAAAAGTTCTCCAGGGTTTGCAGGAGTACACTTGTTGACCTGACGAAGCACAGGCCTTGATCGTATATGTGTGTTCAGTTTCTTTTCCCTCCTTACTTCTCCATTTTAGTCTCCCTCTCCAAGTACGAGCTCATTTCTAATGTATAATGTTATATTACTGGTTTTAAGGTATTTAATTTGGAGTTTGTAACGATTAATACGTCGCTGTTTCATATATTGTCTGGCAACACAGTAGCTGTGTTTTGCACCTTTAGCTAACGTGTAATGGAAATGATGTTGCCTTGCTTTAGCTAATTATACCGCAGTGTCATCTGCGCCTACGCAGATTCCAACCAGTGACCTCCGGATTACAAGACAAGCGCACCATGCTTTCGGCCAAACCGGCTTACTCACCGTACGCCTACGTAAGCGTGTCAGAAAAGGTATGTGTGGATTAGATATAAGAAATAACATTGCTATAAGTCGGTAGTTTTCTGCTACATACCGCCTAATCCGGCAGTTATCGTTTCTTCCATACCCTTTTCTTATTGGGTCTTTCCGTCTGTCTGTTTACACCTTATCTCTCCTTCTTCTAGTATCGCCTTCGGTGCCTATTTTAAGCCCGCCTTCACTCACCTGGGACCTTTTTAGTGTTTCGCTGTTGTATGATTACCTGCAATGCTATACACTCAGGGGTTGCCGGATAGATGGATGGACACAATTATAACTGGGTCCATTGAAACCAATCCCCCGACAACCTTACTTAGGATCTATTACCTCTGATGGCAACAAATCCTAACAGCTTGCCCATTACAAGAAAAGCTCACAGGTTTAGAGAATTCCGAGGAAATATACCATATTTTCATCTTGCGAGACAACAGTTTTTCAACTGTCAACATGAAGGACAAGAAATAACATATCAAAGTTTCATATGGACTAGATAGTTAACAGGGCTGGACAGAGATACCCTGTTCAACCGCAGGTGAAAGGGCATCTAGCACTGACCAGTGTGATGTTTTACATAACTAATGGGAGCCAGGCACGCAAACGTTTATTCTACATCAGGAAAAATTTTATTTTTAGCAAGGAAAATCCGGCGCTGGTTACTAGTGGGGTTCGTTATGAATACTTTGCAAGGTCAGGTCGCTTACAGGTACCTCAGTCAGTAGTCAAATGAGAATAAATCGGCCTAGCTTTTTCAGATTATTTGGGTCAACAGATTAAGTAGATGGTCATTATTAGACACAGATGATAGGCATAACTAGTAAAATGCGCTTCTATATCATTGGCAAGTGTCTGTAATAATTTTGCTTTGATTACATGGTAACGTTTTGCCTCATCATCCAATCATCGGATGCATAAATTGAAACTGTTAATAGCAAAATTGTTGTCGCACGTGCACTCGTTCCTCGTATTACTGGGTTCCTCAATGAGTGTTCTTCTAGTGTTGATTAGTATAATCTCACTTTTGACACTGAATCCAAATAAGCAAATGGGAATACGTTTGGCTGCAGTATTGCACACATATCTCTAACTTCCCTCAATTGGTAACTAATGCATCGACTGGTGTCCCTACCTCTTTGTCCTCTTCCAAGGTCTCTATCCTCTTTACCCGCTTAATCAGCATTCTGAGCATGGTAAGCTGAACAGTTTGCAAACCTAGTACCGATTTCTCAACATCCCCAACCGCTGTGTTGGTACCTAGCGTCACCCACAACACTACGCTTGTTCAGTGAGAGGATGCAAAATAACGAACGTGCTGAAGTTCCTACCTGCATAATGCCACAGTAAACAACCGTTGCTTCTCTAGACTGAATGAGAAAGACCATGTCTGACCTGTTGTTTAGGTTGATTTGCCTAGTTTAGAAAATCAGCGAAATAAGATACATATGATCTGTCCTCAATCAGTGGCCAATAGATATTCACATCAATTCAACTAAATAGTTGACCAATTTACTTCTCTTACCCGGAATAATTCTGGCGTTACTCTGTCCAAAGGAGCATATTAAACAACAATCCGTATCACAGGGATTTGAAATCACTTTAAATGGTAACTATAAAAAATTGAAAGGAAAGGGACAATGGAATCTGTCCGTATTTCTGCAAAGTTTGTCCATGGAGCGATTCTGCTCTCAGTTGTAAGTTTTGGTGAATTGCTTGGGAAAATGAAAGACGCTCGGCATGAGTATGGTGACGAAAGGTGTTACAGTGTTGAATTTGATCTGGTTAGTGCGTAAAAGTTTTCGGCGGGAATCACGGGCGCGCGGGCTCGAAGCCACATGATGCTTTGTATGACAGCTCTGATGTCATTACTTGCGCATTTCTGAAGACGCCAAGGATTGTGTAACTCAAATAGATCCAAACAAGAAATCGGCAATAAAATTGAACCTCTCCATGAGACAGTATATTGTGAGCCGCTGTAGCTATCACGATTTTGCAAAGCGCCAGTGTTTCCTTCGTCATCTGCTCTTACTTGAACTTGAGGAGTGAACGGTTTTAAATCAATATCCTCCTTAGGCATAATGTACAAAACAGCGATAGGTACTCTGGTAGCTATATTCCCTGGGAGACCGCGTAGCACTGCACGCAGTTCATGGTACAAATATCGGGTCTGCTCCACGGTTTCTCTGGCATCCAGTGCATACAAAATTCCGTTTAAACCGTGCAAGATGTTGTGCATACTCTCCGTGACCTCCAGATTTTGTATGACCTCTGCGTCGCTTGTTCGATCATCGCCACTTGGATGTCTGAACAGTCTACTCCGAAGCAGCCTTTCCAGCTGCGTATTGAAGTTGTGACTCAAATGTCCCCGTAGTGAATATAAGTAATGGAGATCGAATACAAAATCGTCACAGAACATCGAATTAGCCCGTGGAGACGAAACATTGTTAATAGCTACTCCTTCACCGTTCGTTGTACAAATAGCCCCATTCTCTCCTGGCCTTTGTGGGATGCACTCAGCTGTACGACGATCTGAGCGATTTCGCAATAAAAGTGATTGTTGAGAGTCAGAAACTTCAAGCGAAGGATCGAACACCGCTTGTTGTGCTTGCGCATAAAGCTTCAAAGTCAGACCGGCTCCAAAGCCCATTCTACCCGGTATCATATTAATGGGTTCAAAGGACTTAGTTCTAGCATCAACCAGCTTGCTGAACAATCTACTTGTGGCCCGTTGATCAAATCCTGGTCCAAATACAGCAAAGCGATACCGCTGGGTAGTAGATCTGCTGGGGCGTCTACCTATGGACAATGACAAACGACGTATAACCTGATTCCACCAGTGTAAAATTTGCTCACCTAGAGAACCTCGAGTCCTTGGACGACGTGTTGATTCATCGGGATTTGTCCGACTGATATTCTTCGAAATAGGAGTTTCTTTTGCACCATAAGTGTTAGACGGTATGAACTTGACCAAAAATCGGTAGATTTCACAGGGATGTACAGCTTGAAGGTCACTCAGATTCAGTGGGTTTTGTGGTTTCTGATCACAACTAATCACAGACCAACGCTTGCCACATAGTTCACAAAGTTTTGTTTGCCATAAAAATCCGTCTGACGCAATATGCCTCCATGTTGCACTCACTTCTTGACAGGCAAGTAAATCAGAACCATCCAAATAAGCGAAGATCTGTAATGCTATCTCGTAGGGCAAGTTATGAGCGCCATATTGGTTGCAGTTCTGTTCTAACTGCCCCTCCATCGAACCATTGTCGGTAAAAGAATAGGACGTTAAACAGAGTTCTCAGCAAAGTTTGTCATTTCAAGTATGCTTACAGTTGAAACTGGTTGATCGCCACCACGAGGCGATCGCCTCGTCTCATCAAACTGAGCACGTGAATATGGGTAGCATACAGCGTCGCAGCTGATTGGTGTGAAATGCAACCGACGGTCGATCGATATGGCTACGTGCTGCCTATTCGCTAAACCTACTAAACATATGCTGTAAGGCCGCTGAAGCGGGCAGTAGGTTAAGAGAAAGGGTGTAACCAACGTGCGCCTATGTGAGTCAGCAGTTAAAGAGTGAATTAGCCATTTCACCTGTGTGAACTGAACCGAAACGATTGTTTCGCCATAACGTGAAAATTCACTGGATAAATGAAGATACCGCTAGTGTTTTCAATGCGCAATTATTCATAATAAACCTATCCAGACGGCTACCACACAACCATATGGGTTTTGTATTATGCCCGTTGGGGATTCTCGATCAGTAAACCCTCTCGCTTATGAAGTACAGCAGAACTAACGAAACATTTTCAACCTAACCTTCTTCAATCTTCGTAAATCGGTGGTATGCGAAGGAGATGGCACTCCCCACCCGCTAGGTAAACCTTTTTATCAAATAAACACGTGGAGCGTAATATCGTAAGCGAGGTTGGTTAGATTGCTATGATTAAACTTGCGGCAATCGTACAAATTTGCATTCCGTGATCAGTCTATCGTCGGACACTTGATCCGCCCTAATCTCGAGTCAACTCAGTCGGTCTATATCTGATTTTAAACAGGAAATACGGGATGCTGCAGTTGCTGATATCAAGTGCCAAGTGCTACATACCAAAGGTTGGGCATGCAGGCCAAGGGTTGCTATGCTGCGGTGTGCAAAAACTGGCAGCATCAGCCAACCTTGAAACACGGTTAGCGGCATCCGGCTTCGGATTTGCTTGTCACTGTGGCCAGCCACAGGACGCCTGCGCCTACAGAGGGACCATGGGTGGCTTGCGCTGCACCATCCACAGCTCCATCCACACACCCCATATCCAGTGTAAACCCGAAGGAATAAGACCGGGAGGCATATGGATGATAGCCACGTTTCATCAACGGAGCCGGCACACACTCCTTCACAGGCAAACACAAGCACACTGTATTTGGGAATCAAGCGCACACAAGGCGGTGGCTGGATCGTAGTCCGCTCCACACTGACTGCATGGAACCACTCTTCGAGCCTAGCACGACCACAAGGACCGTGCACTCCGTCCCCTCCAGCAATGACCAGCTGTCTCCTGGAGCCAGATGGATGAGGTAGTGGATAATAGACAGCTAGGCACCATGTCAACATGCACATCAAGCGCAGCCACACCGGGGATGTCAAACAACAGCCAATCATCCGAAATGACGATATCGAATAAAGTAAACCCCTATGACGACATAAATACTCGCTAAATGAGCATGTGGAAGAAAGTGGTTAAATGTGAATACGCGATAAGTACAAAATGTCGGAAAGTTATTTAAAAATACCACGCGACAAAATAACGCAAGTTCACCACAATTTGCATGAGCGACGTGTGTCACTTGGGAGAGGATTTTCAAGTACGCAGAAGAAACGAAATAAAATGAAATGAATTTTTCCACATTAAAAAGACCTAGTTTACGTGTGAGTTGGTTTAGCCCAGCTGCAGTGAACAGGCATCATGAATGCGACATGAGCGTCAACATGGGGCATATATATATATATATATATATATATATATATATATATATATATATATATATATATATATATATATATGTATATATGGGTGATTTCCACACGCTTTGGGCGTTATGAATCGGTGTGGACTGATGTCATTGGTTCGCATATCTTTGGGTCGACGAATGCGAACGCTGCCAGGCTGCTCTCCCTATGTAGCACTCACGACCTGACGATCACCAACACTCGGTTTGCGCTGAATGGGAGTGATATAGCAACTTGGACGCACCCACGGAGTGGTCACGCTCACCTGCTCGACTATGTCATCGTACGTCAGCATGATATGCGTGAAGAGCGCATGACACGTGTACTGCGTGAAACTGTGTGCTACTACTCACACATGGGTGCGGACCAAGCTGTACGTATATTTTCGTAAATCTATGTTTCGTACTCCCGCCGTAAATCAGGGTAAATCTAACATCCTCTCTCTCGGTACTGTGGAGAAAGCCATTGAGCTGGAGAAGGCGATGGCCTGACGACTATGTGATGTGGAATGCAGAGACACAGTGGGCGATTGTGTCACCACATTCGCGACCAGGTGGCAGCTGCTGCAAAGGAGACGATGGGGCGCGCAAAGTGTAAGCGGCCTGACAGGTTTGATGACAACAATGCGACGACTGGCATATGGGGTCGGAGAAGAATGCAGCATTTGCAGCACAGTGAGTTGGGGAAAAAGGGAAAGTTTGGGCGATTTCTACGACGACTGACCCGAGCGCTCCGTCGCATTAAAAATGCATGGTGGGCGGAGAAGGAGAATTAAATGGAATGTTACTTCGAACGGCGCGAAGATAATGACTTTTTTAACTCCTTGAAGGCGGTTTATGGTGTATAGGAGTATTAACTCTGGTTTACTGAAAGGGTGCTTTTGCTAAGTGGATGTCATAGGACATACACAAATAACATCTACACACATGACTGGCAGTATCCAGGTCAGGAAATGCCAGTCACTGCCGCATCCTTAAGACAGCCACAGGACACGTGCGCCTACAGAGGGAACATGAGTGGCTTGCTCTGCGCCATCCACAGCTCCTTCCTGCACTTCAAATCCGGTGTAGACCCGAAGGAATTCGACTGGGTGGCATGTGGATGGGAGCCACGTTTCATCAACGGAGCCGGCACATACTCCTTCCCAAGCAAACACAAGCACACTGTATTTGGGAATCAAGCGCACACAAGGCGGTGGCTGGACCGTAGTCCGCTCCACACTGACTGCATGGAACCACTCTTCGAGCCTAGCACGACCACAAGGACCGTGCACCCGTCCCCTCCAGCAACGACCAACTATCTCCTAGAGACAGTATGGACGATGTATGGGTAATAGACAGCTAGGCACATTGTCAACATGTATATCAAGCCTAGCCACACCGGGGATATCAAGCAACAGCCAATCATTTGAAATGATGATAAACAATATATATCGAATACCGCATAGGGAACTGATGACGTACCTCCACGTTGAATGAGCATAAGTAATAAATTGGATAGCAACAAATCCGCGCTAAATTCAATTTGTCAAAATATATAACTTTTTAACGCGGCAAACGATAATATATTTCAGATGTTAACCACAATTAGCTTAAGCGACATGTGCAAGTTCATAGATAGTTCAATTAGACGTTAAAATTAAGTAAAGGGACGCATTAAGACAAGATGGCAAACCCACCACCTGAAATAAACGAACTCAGCACGCGAACACTCGGTTAGCAAATCCAATGCAGCGTATCTTCCAAAGCTGTGCGGGTTCTGCCTATATTCTCTGCAGGACCGGCCGTCCTTTCGGTGTTGGATCCGAGTAGTCTCGCTCACGGTTCACTGGGTCTACCTGACTCATGTACTCCCGACCACATGTGCTACAGCACCATGCGCTCGATGTCGATGGAGTACACTACATAGGCGCCTTTCGCTTCCGCGAATGCTGGTCTTTCTCTACAAGCACAAGGGCTTTCTCTTGCACCTCGGCAACGGCCTTCGTTCAATAGTACAATAGTTCAATAGTGTATGATGGGATAAAAAGCATGACTTTACACGACCCACAGGATGGATATGCGAAAGAAAATTAAAATCAAAATATGCCAATGAGAAACGTGAAGTATCAGTGGTTAAACCATTGCACTTTGGCAAAATGCTGTGAAGCGTCTACCACTAAGATGAAAGTCTAAGAATGTTTCGTATGTCATCATGTCTGGTGCGTTCACCACATACCTTGGCAATGCACTCCGGTGAGAATAGATTCTAAGTGAGCAAAAATACATTCTACAATTCAGACGGGATTGTTGCGTCATTAGTTTCAGGTGGTCGCCTCGGCTTTGTTTGTAAGGAGCTAGGGTCAACAGTAATGTACATGGATGCTCGCTTTCAGTTAGTATCCGGTAAGTGAGAGTCAGATCTCCGAGAAGCCATCGGTATTCCGACAAGAACACACCGAATACGCGAAGACGCAGTTCGTTACTTAGGCCGGACATTCCAAGAGTTGCCTCTGTGGTCCTTCTTTGTGGTTGTTCCAATGTCTTCTTTTAACCATGGATACCTGGCTTAAATTGCATATTCAACCTGAGGACGAATATAGGAGTTAATCAGCATTGGTACTAGCGGTCGCTCAAAGGTGCCGAGAGCTCGCCTCAAATGTCTCAAGTTCAAATTCGCCACACTTGCTGCTTTCGAACATTGGAGCGAATTTCCAAGACTCTCTTTCATAATTATACCTATGTCGTGTTCAATAGTCACATGTTGCATGCCGTGTTGCCCCAAAAGTTATGTGTTGAAGAAACTGCTGCGCACCGTCAGTAGGTGGCACTTTGCAGGGTTCAGTGGGAGCTTGTTCCTCTCCGCCCATTCGTTAATCCGGGTCAGATCTTCCTGGAGGTAGACACGGTCGGATGTTGAGCGAATTGCTCTCCATAGTTTAGCATTGTCTGCAAATATTTGCATTGGAGATAGAATGTCTGCTGGAATGTCATTAATGTGGACTAAAAACAGTAGCAGGCCGAGGATGGATCCTTGTGATACACCACTGGAGCGCACAGGCTTGCAGAGTGAGTGTCGGATACTCTTAGCTTGATTGCTCTCTCGTGTAGGTAGTTTTCTGATCAAGTGAGCAGGGAATCGTTGATACCTTAAGCAGCAAGCTTTCGGAGGAGAAAGAAGTGATTGACCCTGTCGAATGCTTTAGAAAAATCCAGGTAAATCACATCTATGTGGACTCCTTCATCAGCCGCCTTGGTCCATGAGTCCTGAGTATGCAGCAAATTGATGAGATAAGAACGTCTGAGTCGGAAACTATATTTGGCATTAGAAATTATTTATTGACTTCCAAAGTATCGCGTCAGTTCGTCTGCGATTACCGATTCCATCACTTTTGATAAAACAGGAAGGAGAGTAATAAGTCCCTAGTTGTCAGGATCCGTTCT